GAAAAGAAGCAGATTACCTACAATGGAAAAATTATCAAAATAATGACATTTATTAACCCAAACTCTCTAATTGAGAAGACCTTGGGGGGAAATAGTCCAAGCTCTGAAAGAAAATAACCTCCAACCAAGACTGATGTACCCGGAAATCTCTCTCTCAAAATTAATGCAGAAACATGATATTTCCAAGACAAGGAGGAACTGTGGGAGTTCATGGCCACCAACCCAACCATACAAAAAAATACTGAAGGACATTCCAAAGAGAGAGAGGAAAAAATACCAGAATTCTAGCAATAGTGACAGAGAGGCCTCAATGAATGGGGGAGACAGTGGAATGAAGGAGAAAAGAGGACAAATTATAGCAGAAGAATAAAATAGCAGAAATGAGGCAGAGATGGTAAGCTATAATCTTAGTAAAGATAGCCCTGATACACTAACAAAAAAGAAACACAGAGTAGATTAGAATGCAGGATTCATCGAGATGCTCTAAATAGGAAATACAGTCAACCTGAAAGAAGGTTAATAAACTGAGAGTCAAAGATGAGAAAACAATGCTATGTGACAGGGAACCAGAGAAACATAGGGACAACTCATCCAGTAGCCGCAGACAGACTGGAAAACTATGACACTTTGGGGCAGTGTAGAACTACACAGCTGGAAGGAAGGAAAAATTTGTAACTTTAGTATGTAAAGGAGTACACCTCAAGATCAAGCTCAGGGGTAAAAAAAGTTCAGCAACACTCAGATAGATAACAGGCTGGGCCCCTAATCAAAAACTAAAAGAGCTAATTGGGACCCAAAATATACAAAGCACCCTGAGATAGGGAAAGGGGAGGAATTGTCTAAAAAGGAAGGCAGAGGACACTGTTAACAGTGTATCAGGATTTAAAAGTCACAGTAGTCTTATCGCTCTGTTTAGCTTGATTATATTTTGTTCTGGTCTGTCTACTCATATAAGTTGAGGGCACCCTAACCCCCAAAATAGCAGGTTATACCATGGTAACTAACCTTAATTTCCTGTTAACTTACACTGAAACCCTGTATTACTTACATTGTCTTACTATGACTGATCTTATTTGAAGCTGGTTTGTTAGACCGCTGTTTAGCCTTGACTGATTTTATTCGAATTTGGTATGCTTGAGAGTATCAAGTCTTAAGAGTAGAGGCAACTACTCTGAAGATGACAAGATATAAAAGAGATCCATTCTGGTTTTGATTATTAACTGCTTTCAAGTCCTACAATGTCTTCAAAGTTGTGTTTTTATTAAAGTAGCTATGTAATGTTATGTTAAATTATATTATGCCTAATGATGTGGACAATTTTATTGGAAATAACAAGAGAAAGCATAGTAACTACTGTAAATCACCTAATATTGTGGTCTTATATGTCTTTTTCATTTCATGTTTTTCTAGGAATTTATTTTGTTGTCTTGTTTTGATCTGTTTTTCCCTATAATACAGAAAGGATAGATACACATGTACAGATTCACACATGGGAAGAATTTCTAAACTACTTACGGGAACAGATTATATAATACACGATGTAATGAACAGACACTCTGAAGAAGAGACACCAAGAAACCCAATGCTAATTCTGTAGCGTTGTGATATGAAATCTAGCAATACTATCATTCACTGTTCGGAGTGATAGTAGTCTAGTCTCTTATGTTCAATTTCAGCATACATAAAGATAGCTACTATGAAGAGAATGAGAGGCATTATGGTAGTCATTATTGACTTCCCCAAAATTAGGTTTTGAAGACCTAAAAAGCCTTCATCATCCTGTAATGATTTGATTAGTTCTATAATGTTCAGTATATATTCAATGTGTGTGAAGATGGGGACAACTATTTAGAAGAAAACAAGAGAAAATAAGACAGTGAAGACCTCCAGTGGACTTGCTTTGAAATCTGTGTTTCTTTAAATTGTTTCCTTATAAACTGTTTTGTTCTGTTTTGTTATGTTCAATCTTACCCTCTTTAAGATAAAAAACAAGTGTGTGGGACTGATAACCATATTACCAAGTTCTTGTTGGATCGTTGAGCAGAACTGTTTGCAGTGTCATTATTTGAATATCACTTTGTATGCTTTAATTTTATAACTCGATCAACTATTTCTAAGATGAAGGTATATAATTTATCGACTGGTAATTTCTTACTGTTTATTTTTCTGAAATTCTGTATTGCTGCTACACTTTTTTTTCTGTTTTTCTTTCTTTCTCTTTAAATAAAAAATAAAACAGAAACAAAAAAAGAAATTCAATAAAGACCTAATGCTGATACTCTCAAACTCTTCAGTGAAACTGAACAAGAACTCATACTCATTCTTGAAACCAAGCATTACCCTGATCAAACCAAATACAAGGACTATAAGCCTAATGATCATATACACAAAAAATCTCAATATTATACTGGCAAACAGAATTCAACCAATCATCCAGAAGATTATACATCATGACTAAATAGGATTCACCCCAAGGATGCATGGATGATTTAACATATACAAATTAATAAATGCAATATACCATATTAACAGAGCCAAGGATAAAAACCATAAAATCATCTCAATAGATACAGAAAAAGAATCTGACAAACACCCATTCATGACACAAACCCTAGAGAAGATTGGAAGAAAGGTCTCTATCTCAACTGATAAAAGTCATCTATGAAAAACCAACAACAAACATCACATTAAATGGACAAAAGAGAAAGTTTTCACCTTAAAATCAAGAACAATATAAGGATGTACATGGTCAACACTCTTATTTAATATAGCTCTCGAAATATTACTTAAAAGAATTAGGTAAGAGAAAGAAAAGAAATAAGAATAGGAATGGAAGAAGTTAAATTATCATTATTTGCTGATTACATGTTATTCTACACAGAAGACACAAAAAGTGCCACCAAAAGACTTCTAGATTTAATAACCAGATTCAGTAGCACAGCTGGATACAAAGTCAACACTCAAAAATCAATAGTATTCCTGCATACAAATAACGAACTCTCTGAGCAAAAATTTAGGGAAGTAAAAATTTTCACAATAGCATCAAAATATATGATAAAATTAAAACAATGGTGAGAATCTGTCTCATTCCAGAAAGGATAGTTTTCATCAAGAAATCAATTAATAACATGCTGGCGGAGCTGTGGGAAAAAAATGGACCTTCTCCACTTTTGGTGAGAGTACAGACTGGTATAACAATTATGGAAATTAGTGCGGAGATTCCTCAAAAACTATTTGACCTACCTTTTCTCGTTCCTAGTATCTTCCCAAAAACATTAAAAGCGTCATACCACATCAATATATGCACAATCATATTTATCACAGTACAGTGTGTAATAGTAAATCCTGAAAACAGGCCAAATGTCCATCAACCAATGAATGAAAATGGATAAAGGAGAGGTTTTTTAAATATACAACGAGATACTGCTCTGCCATAAAGAAGGATAAGCTTGAGCTGTTTCTAGCTAAATGACTGCATTTGAGATCATACTCTGAAGTGAAATACATTGGACACACACATGCTTAAATACAACGATGTTTCTCTGGTATGAAAAACCAAAAGTATAAATAAGGACTAAAATGTATAACTGACAGTAGCAAATGTGAAGAAAATATTCAAATGAGAAGGGGAACAAAAGATGGCGAAGGGAATAGGAAGAAATGGATAAGAAAAAAGCATAAAAGGGAAAAATTGAAACAAAGCATTTGTAAATAAGGAAAGGAAGAAGGGTGGAAGGGAGGAAATGAATGGGGAAAAAAGAAGCAAGAAATATCATGTACAGGCACAAATTCCCTATAATGAATGTTATCATTATGCATACTAAGAACTTACCAATAAAAAAGAACTGTTTGTATTAAAAAATAAAAATTTAAGAACAATGGAATATTATGTATTTTGTTGACTTCAGCAACTACAAGCCAATGACTAATGTGAAGAGGCACATCCTTTCATTTGTACCTCTTTAATGGAAAAGGTTTCTACAATTTTTACCCCAGTTGTGAGTACAGAAGTGTTGCCTTCAAAAGGAAACTGTTGATCATTTTTATAATTATAAATTCAAAGTTTTGTTGAATGTTCATATAAATTTCAAAAATAAATGTGTCTTTAATAAAGTCTCAATAGCAATTCTTTTTCTTTCCTACATGCATGTATATTTAGAGTATTTTTATTCATCTCTAAATGTTGATCAACAAGCCAGGGATATAGCTCAGTGGAATAGCGCTTGCCTAGCAAGTATGAGGTCATGAATTTGATTTCCAGCACTAAAAAAAAGATTCTCAGGAAGAGTCAATTTGCCAGGTATGGTGGCACACACCTGTAATTCCACCATTCAGGAGGCTGAGGCAGGAAGACCATTGCAAGTTCAAGACCAGCCTGGGCTACAAACTGAGCTTGAGGTCAGCCTGAACTACATAGTGACACCCTGTCTCAAAAAGTTTTAAAAAAATGTTCATCAAAGTATTAAAATAATTTTTAACAATTATACTTATGGAAGTTATCATTTCTACTATGTATCTAAGTGGATGTTTTAAAATACATTCATAGAGAAACATACTCAGTTTAGGTACACTTATTGTATTATGAAGCAATTTATAAAACAGCATTAAACATACCCAGATGTGCACAATTTCAAACACATTTCACATTGCATTGATACCAATGATTTTTTAAAAAGCCCTCTAAGTTGTATACAGGAAACATTCATTAATTATACATTGCAGAATAAAAATTAGAGCATTTCCAGAAAAGGAATAAGTTCTCCATAACCAAAAGATAAATACATTAGGTTATTTCATTTTATTCTGCTGATGTTTATCTTTTAGATTAAAATAAATACACATATTTGGTGGTGGTGATGGTGATGCGGCTGTGCTGCTTCTTCCTCTTCTTCCTGCCACATTGATTTGTAGTGAACATTCACATTTCAAAACACAGATATTGCCAAACTTTTATGGTACTCACAGCACTTAATCGAAATTAATGCCTCCAGCAAGATTACCTTAAGCAATCTAATCGCAGTCACCCAGCACGTCCTACTCTGGTCTTCTTCTGCACAGAGCATTTTCAGGTCTCGGGGCCCTCCTGCTTTGCGAGGCTAGAAGGCCACAGCACATTGTTTATCGTTAATGCATACCTCGAAGGTAACACCTGTTGAAATAAAAGTCACTAAAATTCTCCTATATATGAAAAAGCTGTCTCTTTCAAAAACAAATTAAAAGAAACTCAAGCTTACCTAAAAGGCTGAGGCTTGTTTTATTCATCTATCAAAATACTAAGCCTGTACCTTAAAGCAGAATCCATAGCTAGTCGGTGCTCCGTGTTTTTTTTTGCCTGCCAGTGACACATACACATCACTATTGCCAAATTCACTGAAAAACTGCAAATGTCGTGGTTCCTTAAAAAAACAATAGTGAGATCACATCATCGTGTGTGTGGGTGTGGAAATGGATACATATTTTGCAACATCTCTTTTTGTAATTCCATTACACAACTTATACCTTGGGCAAAAATTATCCCAAACAAAATTTCAATGTAAGAGCACAAAACACAAGGCCAAAACAAAACAAAACAAAACAAAACTAAGTTACTTCATTTAATAAGCAGGAACTCCACACAATTTTATGTAAACTGACAAATGTTGATGCGTTCATGATTTAATTTCTAGTGATATTTATAAAAGCTATATTTATAAATATATAAAATATTTTATATTTCCATATTTATAAATATAAGTATATAAAGGTCTACTTATAAATATAATACCCAAGTTTATATATTTTTTAAACTTTCTATTCTCTAAAACCAGTATTTCAAAAATCTGAAAGAAAAAAGAGAGCAAAGAATGGGTTTTCAAATTGTTTCTTTTTAATCTCCATATAAGATAGTGGCAGCTTTTCAAAGGGTAGAGATTGGTTTCAGCTTCTGTAACAGTTAGAGAAAAAAATGGAGAAAGATGATTCCTGCTCTTTTCAGGCAAACCATTCCTCACACCACAAAACACATCATAGCAAATGAGACAGAGCACAAAACAATGGAAGCTTCTACAGGTGAGTTCAGGAAATCAGCTGCAGTAAGGTATGATTGACTTGCAAGGTAAAGTGGAACCACAAACAGCTATTTCTTTTCTGGGAAATCCATGTGATCTAGAGTTGGTCATGGAAAATCACTGGGTCATATGATTCTGTTAAGAACTGGGAGGAGGTTTAAGTCTGTGGTTGAAGGTATAACCAAAAGTTGCCAAATGCATTTGCTCTCGGAAGCCTTGCTACCGGTGCAGTGATCTCAGACCATCAGAATCCACAGCTCTGGGGAACTGTTAGAGATATAGCATCTCAGGGTTCACCTTGAACCTCTTGAATCAGTATCTGCATACTACCAAGATCCCAGGTGACACTATGTGCCCTCAAATTTAGCAGCCATGCTCAAACACATATGTGCATGCACACATGAACCTCCAGAACATTCCGTAATGAAAAACCCTGTCCAAATCCAAACACCCTTGTCATCTACCAGTAGGCTATTCCAACTCTGATGACTGGCTGAAGAAGAAATTCATTGCGTTATTTTCCTTAAACACTTTAATCTAATGAAGGACTATGGTTCTTAATTTCATTGGATCATAAGACAATAAGATATATTTTTAAGAAGACACTTGCCAGGCATGGTGGTTCACACCTATAATCCCAGCATTTGGGAGGATCATTGCAAATTTATACCTATAAGCATTTGGGAAGATCACTGAAAGTTCAAGCCCAGCTGAACAAAATAGCAAAACCCTGTCTCAAAAAAACAAAACAAACAAGACCCAGTCTTGGCCTGTGGAACAATGAAAGAGGGTGGAAAAGGTTACTCTAACACTGTGTCTTTTAAGACTTTATTCTTGGTAAAAACTGTTTGCTAATAAAAAGATGTCTGATTGCTAAGATGGAGGAAAACTACCCCTTGCCTCCAAAATGTAGGAATCAGTATTTCTCAGTCCTCATGCGGAAGTAAAAGGCAAGTTAAGAAATACTGAAAGGTAGTAGAAGTATGCTGAGGCTCTTATCCCTGTTGATTTTTGTTCTACTACTGAAGACATACCAAGGCGATGGCACTCTAAGAATCCAAGGCTGAGTCATGGCTGGCAAGTTTAAACAGGCACATGCACATATAAAGATGAAAAGATGGACTCTTAGAGGTTTCTCTGTAAAGACAACATACAGGCATATCTCCAAGGCACAGCCATGCAACCCTGATCATGACGTTATAATCTCTAGGAATTTATCTTCTAGGCCAGGAATTAACATAACACAGCACAATATAACATGACATACACAAAACAGTTACAGAGCAAGAAAGGACTCAGCTGAGTATTACTGACTGCCTACTGATGCTGATTAACAGCAGTTCAGAAGCAACAAGACTAGTCATAGGACCTCAGATAAAACAAAAAGGTATAAACTACACTGGACTTCAAAATCTACAGTCCTGGATAAGAGGAAAGGACTTCAGGGTGGGGCCAAATAAGTGATGTATCTGGTATGAAGTCAGAGCAGTCGGATTCCATCAAAGATATATAGAACTGGCATGAAATAAAACAACAATTTATAAAATTATGATGTTTATGTTCAAGATCCAAAAGAGTATCAACTCTGGGCATCAAGTAAAAAAGAGATCAATATAAAACACCAACATATCACTTATAGCACATCATGGGTACCTCAATTTACCTTTGATGTCCCCTTAGTAGAAAAATATAAACCAGATCTTCTTAGAAAGAAGTAAACTTTTTTCCAGGACTTCTTTCCCTGTTCTTTTGCATGTAAGAAGCCATGGATTTCAGGATATGTACTTGAACTTATAAACATCTGGAAGAAAATTTAGATGGCCTTATAATACTGAGTTTTTAGACTTTTATCACTTAAATATAAATATGTAAAAACAAGTAGTATATTATTCATATATCATTATTAAAAATCATAATGTATATGATCATAATGCATATGAAAATAGAAAATAAGTCCTTCAAAAAACCTGAGACAAGTTCCAAATGAAAATGTTCACAAAATATATATTCTAAGTAATCAACATTTAGCTAAACACAAATTGTAAAATATATGGATGTCTACTTAAAAAGCTGGATATTTACAGAGTTAAATCCTGATACTTGTCATCCTTTTCTGAGATTATCAACTTATTTATCACATCACTGTTAAATTGTATAAGACCACAATTCTAACTTCAATGGTTATGCATGAGGTTGAGCCAAGTTCACCTCCCTGATGAAGGTAAAGCATACAGTCTCTTCTTTGCTTCTGTGGTTCTGTTATGTTGGGTATGGCAGGTTATGTTTTCCAGAAAGTACTGCAACGTTATCTTCCATACCACTTGCTCTTCTGCTCTCTGAATCTAGATTTGAGCCATGAGAGGTTGCATCTGGTTCTCCACTCCCCTGAATCTGATTAGGCTGTGACTACTTTGATCAATAGGATATGGTGGAAGAGACACTCAGCAGGCTCTACACGTAGTCCTAGCAGGACAGTTTCCACAACTTAACTCTTGGAAGCTAGCTGTCACTCCTCTGGATGAGAAGCCCAGTTACAGGAGGGCACTGGAGAATGAGGCATCATGTGGACAGAGAGAAAGAGGGGCCCTAAGTACCAAGGAACATGTAGTGAAAAAGGAACTTTAGAAGGGACCCCTCAGTCAACAGACAGAGGAACCTAAGTGCTTCAGAAAACTCTTCCCAAATATCTACCCTTCAAAACTATTGGTAAAATATGAGTGGGTACTTTAAGCCAGTAAGGTTTGGAAGAGTTTGTTACCCAGTATTAATTAACTGAGACAGCAGGCACAGTTGTCAGGAAAAGGAGAATAGAAAGGAAGATCTCTATGTGAGGGGCTATGCTCAGCACCCTTAATAAGACAGTAGAAATGCATTAGTGTCTCATTAAAAGAAGAAAATAGAAATCCCTATGAATAAACAAATGGAAAAAATGCAAGTAAGAGAAGTTATTAGCCTCAACAATGTAATATATTTTAAATGACTATTCAGGGAAATGCTGATAGAATATTTACATTTTTAAGTAAATTGCTAAAAATTTTCAAATTTAATGAGCCACGGGTATTAATTAATTGACATGCAAAACAGGCAAAAAGGTTTTTTAGTTTGAGTGCTTTCCAAGTTATTAAACCAAACCAATTAAATTTTAAAAAGAGAGTCAAAGAGGTCACACTAGAAAAAGAAGAAACCTTTTAAAAAGTGGAAACATTGCCTCAGCAGAGAGAAGAGGTCAAGGGCACATGTAGGACTATCTGATTCCAAAGACTATGATTTTTCTTGTTTTTATAATTTAACATTAAAGCAATATAACTATACTATAGGAGAATTGGGAAAAGAATGCAGAAGACTGGCTCCTTCCCACCACGATGTTGGAGTACAGAGGTGAAGCACTCAGAGAGGACCTGGGACATAGCTGCTAACGCCATCTCTCCAAATATTCTGAAAGGGTGTCCGTGAGAAACCCAGCACGTGGGAGCAGCTTTTAGAAAAATCTCTTGGGACTCATCACATTTGTAAAATATTGTAAGTATGAAAATAAAATACACATATTAAAAAGCCTACAGGGAAAACACGTGATAGAGAGCACCTGATAGATATATATAAAGTCAAGCTGTATTGGAAATATTAAGTTATCTTCATTAATGACCAAACAATACTGAGTGGGTGTGTGAATGCCAGGGCTCAGCAAAAAAAAACAGTGGCTGAACAAAGGCACAGCTCAACAGTAAACTGCACAAAATGACTTCAGGCCTTGTGATACTGAGTCTATGAATCTATTAAAGTAAAATAACACATTGTGCACTTATTGTTAAGACAGTGTTTTAGAAAACAGTCATCTTGAACAACCACGTGTTTATGAGAAATGAGCCCAAAAGACACAAATTTTAAAGATTTTTAATTAGATAACTAGTATTCTTAGTTTACCTGAAATCAAAAATTGGATTGAGGATATTTATTGTGAAAGCCAATACTAAGTATCAACTAGTAAAATGCCTACAATTTGTAGGAGATTTTGAGTTTTCAAAGGCTAACAATTTTTTACATTTATCACACAGCAAAACTTTGAAAATTTCCTTTCATGACAAATATGTTTAAATACTTAAAATCTTTGACAGTTAGCTAGGACTTAGAATATGATTAGGGAATTTACTGATTTAGGGCATTCTTCTACAGTTTTTTTTTTTTTTTGGTTTTACCTCCAGCAAAAATTAATCATTCAAGATAGGACATTTCAAAATACAGGTATGACAATAAAGACATCAAAGTTTCTCTATTATGGTATTACTGACACATTCTAATGAAAATGTATTTTACCTGCAAAATCTGTGAGGGGGATATTTCACCATTGGTTTCAGTTGCAAATGATACCATATTCTCTGGAAAAAAATACTGAAAACAAATAGGTTAAGTTATTCTCCAATCCATGCTTAAAAAGATTCAATATGATCAATATAGTAATCTATTAGCCAAAGTCCTCTAAACAAGTGTGTCTAATAATTTTCCAAAGTGATTTTGAAAACATCAGTCTTTGGATTCCAGCATCACACATCTTTAATTAGCACATGCAGAGTTGGGACCAAAGCTTGGCAAACCCCCAGGTGATGCTCATGTGAGAGAACCTCCTACGTGGTTATAAAACTCTGCTTCTGATGTGACAGTGAACGTGCTGTCACATATCTTCCCTAGTTCCTTCAAATCACTCTACCAGTTACTAGAATACTGTTGGTCTCTTTCAAAAAGTCAGCTCAAGGAAAGAAAAGGTAAAGGCTATGACCAAGGTCAAAACCTACGACAACATAGAGGAGCCAGGACTCAACTGAGGAACTACAAATCCAGTCCTTTCCATTTACTGTTTGTCCAAACTTGTTTAAACATAAAATTCACTGAGGCAAGTTTTTTAGAACAGTAAACCCCTTATTCCTTGAGTTTCTGGTTCAGTATATATCTAGGCAGGTGTTGCAGTCTGTGTTTTTAATAAGTACTAGAACCTCCCTAAATAAATTTCATGATCAGAGAAGTTTGAGGAAACATATTCTCCTGTATTTCCTCTAGCACTGGGTATTTTGACAGTAGTTCTGTTAACAGTTTGGTCTAATAACTCTGTGTTGGGGGTGGTGCCCTTTGCATTATAGGATATTTAGCATGATTCTAGCCTCTACTCATAAGGAGCACCCCTGCTCAGCAGTTTGATGTGACCCTCAGTAATGGCGCAGGTACAATGGTCAAATCACCATCCTCCCTACTTGAAAACTACTGTTTCAAGTCTATAAAACACATGCCCAATCTTGCTTAAATAACAATAAATATAGCAAAAAATGAGCTCTAAACCATATTCCTTTAAATGTGACTTTAAAATTCTCCCTTTAATAAAGGTTTGAAACAAGAAAACACTTTCCTTCAAATGTAACTTTATTTAATTTTTATTAGAACTCTTATTTTCTTTGTCAAAGATCATCCCATTATGTTTCTATTAATAGGTTAAAATAAAAGAGAATGTAAGAGGTCTTTCAGGGTTTGAAAATATTCTATTATGGTGTGTATCATATATTTTTCATAAAGGATCATTTCAATCCAATTATCCAAAACTTAGTGTAAAAATATGCTTCAGCTACAGAGATAAAAACAATTTAAAATAATGAGCCCAGAGGCTATTCTGACTTCTCTAGATTCATCATCTTCATTAGAATGTGGCATACATTTATTTTCTTTTAAAGAGAACTACAAGGAAAGTAGTATTTACTAGATAATGTACTGGTCTTTATTTCATTTCTACCTAGCTCAGAAATTACTGCATTGAAAACAAAATAACTTGAAGCAGCAAGATTTATATCAATGCTAAATTTCTGGATAAGCTACCATTCTCCCACATTACTAACCTATTTTTACTTTAGACATTTCTTGCACAAATTTATCCTAAATTCCACGAAAAGTTGTAAAATATACTGTTTTGGTATGCACTTCAGGACCTACAATAATTTATTTTCAAATCAATGTATAATTTTTGGATGATTTTGTTTTTCTGAAAGGCAAGAAAAAGACTCAAATGACCCCCAAGAATAGGTTTCTACTTTTAAATTAAACAATCAAAATGACCTCAATAAGGCTTTAAAACATTTTCCTTTACACCTGTATCATATTGACTACACATTATTTAAGAAATTACTTTACAAATCCTTCTGTATGACTTCATAGTTATTCTCTTTGCACAAAATTTACTCATTTAGTTTCTGTAACTGTTAATTGATAATTCACTTACTGTTGGGGTTTTAAAGAATTCATATTTGGCATAATTTTTTCTAAAGTAGATCTTATTTTCTTCCTCCATTCCCCAGTTAGATAGCACTTCAATTACTAGCTCATGGTCTTCTATTGTTCTTTCTGTAAAGAATGTTTCAGTGAATGTGTTGACAGATACATAGACAAACTCAAATGTAAAACCATACAAACATACAAAATACATTATATACATATAAAACATAGCAAATTTCAAATCAAATTCTTAAATATCCAGATTAACAAAATTTCTTATCAATTTTGAATTACTAGTGTCAATTTTTATACCACAGCACGCACCTGAAAAGAAAAAGTACATAAAATATTGCAATGTAAGTTGCACTAATTCTCTTTTTTTATTGCTATGTAAATTACAACACAAGTTTGATAACAAATCTGCATTAAGACATGAAAGCTATTCTTTCTTCAGCTCATCACTGTGGTAAAATTAAATATATTTATTTCAAGGTTGAACAATTCACCTCATTAAGAGATGAGTAATTTTGACAGGTTCAATACACATTTAAGACACTTAATCTTGAGTAGCTGAGCAAAATTAAAACAGATCCTCTAAATGGAAAATTCTCAAGGAAGAAGGTAGATCTGTTAGAGCAACTCAATTTCTTATGGCATTTTATACTTTCCAGGCTAATGTTAAGAAAAATATACTTTATATTAATAATGAAGATAATTAGGTAAGGTGGGAAGGCTCTTAGTAGAAAAGACATGTAAATGAACCAAGAAACAGGATCATTAAAGAGGTAGAACATAATTTTCTATTTTAATAAGAATCTGCGATGATGTTCAATAATTCCCGAAACTGAAAAACCAAATATTTATTGATATAAGGGATAATAAATTGTTTTAAAAGCATTACATAGACATAATCATAACCATATGAAAAATCCCAACAACACTGATGACTTTTACAAATATAATATTAAATGAAAGAAATTAGACACAAATAATATACATTGTATGGCTACATTTATATAAGATTGAAAACTGGAAAAGCCAGCCTATGGTGGTAGATATAGGACATTTGAGGCATCCAGGGAACCAGTTAGGATGTTGGTTACTCAGGTATATGCAATATGTGAGAAGTCACTAAGTTGTCTAATTATGGTTTTGTTCATATAAGGTATGCTATATTTCAATAAATAGGTAGGAAAAAGAAGTAACTATGAAATTATCAATGCAAAAGAGGAAATGCATAGTCAGATAATAAATATGAAATTTTATGCCTTTTTAGTGTTTCTAGGACCATTCTGAAACGGATCTGTGTCTTAGAAATTCAATCCTCAGTAGTGATCTGTGACCTACTACACCTGAACCCTTGAAAGTAATGTCATATTAAACAGAAGCTTATCCATCTAAAAGGAAGTTCTTGAAAGAGTGCTCAGTGAATATGGATGAGTTTGAGCTAAGTGTGTATCAAGACGCAGGGTTCTGTTCCTGACTCTGATTGCTCCTTTTCTGTCTCACCAACTAGCTCCCTCCCCTGCTTCTCTTTATTTGGTCCCTGATTCAATTCTCCTTTTCCACTCACTAAACTAATTCACATTCTTCGTTTCCATCACATTAGTCAGTTTTTTTTTTTTTTTTGAAGCAACATCCCTTCCTGTAGCTGCTTTCAGCTAGCTCCCCTCCTAATAATGAGATTCTCTGCCACCTTAAACAGTTTGTCTAAAACCAAAGCAGGCATGGTGGCTCCTTGATACAGTAAATATGGAATTATCACATGATGTAGCAACTCTGATTCTGGGCATACGACAAGAAGTGAGAGATTCAAACAGATATGCAAATTCCAATGCTCACAGCAGCATCCTTCACAATAGGCAAAAAGCAAATAATAATAATCTATTGTCCATCAAGAGATGAATGTATACACACAAAAGAATAGTCTTACAAATTAATGAAGTTACGATATATGCAACAACACAAATGAATCTTGGAGGCATTACACTAAGTGTTAAATAAGACAGGCAGGAAAGGACAAATATGGTGTGAGTCCACTTACATAAAGTACTCAGAACAGTCAACTTAACAGAGGCAGAAAGCAACATGATGGTTGCCAGGGGCTGAGAACGAGGAGACAATGAGGAATTACTTTTTAACTGGTACAGTTTCAGTACAGGAAGATGAACAGTTCTGGTTATAAGTAGTGGCAGTAGTTGTACAAAAATGTGTCATGCTACTGAACTACATATTTAAAAAATACTTAAAATGGTAAATTTTACATTATATACATTCTATCATAATTTTAAAAATACATTAAAAACAAAACCAAGTCATCTTTTTCATTTCCCTCAGTGTACTTGTTTATCCGAAATCCTCTCTCCTCCATTACTGCTATTATATTTTTACTACATTCTCCAAAAGCAATATACAGAATAAAAACCCAATCAGGCCTAATGGAACATGTCTATAATCCCAGGACTTGAGAGACTAAGGCAGGAGGATCACTGGAATTTCAAAGCCAGCCTGAGTTGCATAGTGAAACCCTGACTCAAAAAAAAAAAAAAAAAAAAAAAGAAGGAATAAAAGCCCACCTTTGTATATTTCTCTGCTAATACTTCTACATCTTTTACTCCTGACAGACCCAGCTATCAGCTGCCCTTTTTCTACAAGTTCTTCATGACAAACAACCCTCCCCCACACCAATTTCCACTGTCACACTTCATTTTAGACCTTTGTCTTTTCTTAACTATTCTCCAAACCGCTAATTTCTCATTCTTCTAATCCATCTTGGACACTAATATCTGAGCAAACTCCTAAAACATCTGGGTCAATGTAAATGCAGCTCAAAAAGTTTGTCTGTTTCCGTTTGTTACATGAGAAACCCATGTAGTCTGACAGCCATCCATTCAACAAATATTTACCAAAGGCCTACAAGGTGTCAGACACTCCTCTGGAGCTGACAATTTTGTAGTGGATAGGACAGTAAGAAACAGCTGGCTTTTATTATAATGGGAAGACAAACATAAATAACATATAAATCTTAAAAGCTAGCAAAAACCCTAAAGATAAAAAGAGCAGGGAAGAGACAGGAAGAGGTACAGGAGAAAAGGATCCAGGGAAGGGTTGATTGAGAAAGTGATAACTGAACAAACATCAAAAGGACAACAGGCACAAGCTAGGCAACAAAGCCCTTGAGACACAAGCAAGGCTAGTACCTTGACAGCACAGCAAGGGCTGAAACTTGGGGAACCAACTGAGAAAGCAACGAGCCATCCTGGTAAGCAGCACAAGCGAGCTGCGGGCAGGCCAGAGAGAGAGAACAAGTTAGCCTCCCTGTGAACCTACCAGTGCACCAGCTGAGAACCAAATGTCCTGTGTGGACCCCACCACCCCCAACCTCGCCACCCCCCTAAAACGTGCCCCCCCCCCCAGCAACTGGATGGTTTGGAGGTCAGCTAGAGTTGATAGCAACCAAGGTACATAAAGCAACTAAATGCTTGTATTGTTTGGTTGATTATGCAGGCCTGGGGCCACAGGTCTGAGTATCTCTTGGGAGGATGACAGTATGTAATATAGCAAATATGAAGGCTTTCCTTCTATCTTGTCTTTGAAGTTTAATATTGTTTTCACTCTTTTACTTTGTTCTGACTGTTTTGCTCTATTCAACAGTCTGTTTTGATTGGTTTTATAGTGTTCTGTTTTGGGTTTGATTTTGCTATACCTGACTGAATGGACAACTACTGTGAAGATAACAAGATATACTATGATACCTATTATTGTTGTCCTGGTATCCTGCTCTGCTCTGAAGTTCTGTTCTAATTTCACTGTGTTGTCTTGATTGGCTTTGTTCTGTATTGTTTACTTGTATTTTACTATTTTTAAAAATTAAAAAAGTAAGCATAGCAAGGAAGTTTTTATCATTACAGCTGAGTGAGCAAACAAGAGAAGACCAAGAAAGAGGTTAAAGAAAAAATGGTGATGAGATGGGGTTGTATAAAGCACCAAAATAAGGATTCAGCTCTTTTTCAGAGTTACATGACAAACCACCCTGACTACAGGAATAATATGAACTCACATGTTTTAATTGTGTCATACTTCCTGTTGAGCAGAAAACTGATTTTAAAAGTTTCACAGGCTGGAAGCATGGCCACTATGGAGCAGACTATTGCAACTAACCGAGGAGCACATGAAATGGTGTAGACTAGCGTGTTAACAGTGGATGCGGTAAAAAGTGGGCAGAATCTGGATCTACTCTGAAGATAGTGTCAACAGGATTTGCTGACATAGTAAATACAGAGTGAAAACAAAAAAGAGCACTCAAGGACAACACTGAAGTTCTTGGCCCAAGCATTTTGCAGGACTTTGCTACCATTAACGAGCTACGATGACTAAAAGAGAAGCAAACGGGTGAGATTCAGTAATTACCAAGATAGCAAATGAAGTTTCATTCCCAGCAACCTTTCACTCTTTACTTTTATTTCTCAGATAGACTCAGTTGATATTTTGAAGTTCATAAAACATAGGTATACATTAGTAAACATAGTAGCTGCTAATTATTATTATTTTTTTTTTTTTACCAGTCCCAGGGATCGAACTCACGACCACACAGGCTTGCAAGCCAGGCGCTTATGCCGCTGAGCTAAATCCCCAGCCCCAGCTGCTAATTATTGTACCTATATTCTTTGCAACTGCAATGGGAGACAATTTTCAGGTATTAATCAATTACTTGCTTATTTCTCTTGTTGCCAGTGTTTCCTTGTACCTATTATCTTTCTGATAAGGAAATAGTCTGTGTTGTATTCTCAAGAAACATTACATCAAGAGAGAAAAATAACACAGGCATCTTCTTTGGTTTTGAGTTTTGAAGTAGATGGTATGGATATTTGATTAAGTATCATTGCTTTTGGAGAATCATACCCAGCCCAGAAGACTACTACTTCCCATAGGGATCTATTCCAATCTTCCAGAAAAAGGAGCTAAGTTAAGGGCTGAATGGAGGAAAAAATCAACTGGAAACCTAGAAGGATCTAGCATGATGATGGTTCCAAGTAACCCCATATTCTGGCCATTTTCAGAACTAGAACCCTTTCTGGGTGATAAGACCTTAGATAAACTGAAAGGCTGTTGGACAACTCAAAACGTAG